GCATAATTGTTATGAAGCACCAATGGCACACCATTAATCGGAACACCAAGCTGATATGCGAAATCTTCCAATATTATCGTCACTTCACCAAAAGGAAAATGAAATGTATGCGTTTCGGGTCTCCAACGCTCAATCAACTTCGATATTAGTATCGGTATCACCTTAAAACCACGAAGAAACGTCGTTGGATATAATCTAGATTGTTGAAGATATATCACAATCCGCTAATGTGGCTCTTCATTCATCATTCCTCGATTAAAAATACCTCGTTCTTCTTATTACAATTTGAAAATAAATTGATTAATAAAATTATATAAATAATTATTATTAATACTATAATTTTTTCCAAAGTAAAATAAAATAAAACAAATTAAATTTACCATAGTCAACTCGGTCGACGGAATATGAACATCATCAAGATGCAGCATTTCTTCTCTTGAGGCCATTTCAACACAAAATATTCAACAAAAAAGTTTTTACTCTCACTAGAATGTTTTATTTCAAGTGAAAAATCAATCCAACTCAAACCTCTATTTATACTACTCTATCAAACGGCTATAAACAACTAGTTTTTTCAAATTGAAAATTGCCGTTAGAACTCGTCATACTAGCATAAGAAGTTCCATTGAATTAAAAAAAAAAGTATCGTTGGCCAACAGTCGAAAATTTCAAATTTTTTATCATTTGGAACGTGAAGAGTTCCATGGCCATTAATATATATATATTACAATGTTTTTTAAAATTCCAAAAAAAAATATTCAGACTCGTCATGCCCGAGTGACGAGTCTCGTGAAATACATAACCCCCTCAGACCGATGCGGGTGGCCCGATCCAATCTGGGGTGTCACATTAGGGCCACCGGAGCGACCCACTGTAGAAAATCTTAGAAAATTTAAAATTTTTATTAAGACACGAAAAAATCATAAAATCAATTTATAAACATAACAATAAAATTTAATATTATTAAAAAATAAAACAGATCTCAGACTTGGATATAAAAACAAAATACAAGTTATATGCCCCCTAATCACATCACCGTGCTCCGTAAGAAACACCGATGGAACTCCCCCACTAAAGTCGATAGCTGTACATATACGATTTTTTAACCTGAAATGGTGAGTAACAGAGTGAGATTTGGAAAGCTCAGTAATACAATACTACCAGATGATGCTACAGGGTATGTAGATAAATGTAGAACAATAAAATTTCCTTATTGAATTAGACGCATACAGGTTTTCGGGATAAGTTGGGGTTCTACTGGTACTTCACGAGTATAAGTCATGAAGATCTCAGTTCATAAGAAACATTCATGGTATCAAGTTTTCAGGAGATCAAATAGGATGCCTAGTGTGTTCCAATCAAAATGAGTGAAAAGATATAAATCTTTTAAAATCATAGTGGAACCCTCCAACCAAACTTCATTATGCAGTTCCCCAGAATTGCATCCATAAGGGCTTACCCTAAGCACACAGCAGAGGGAGCCACCCTAAGGGAATACCTTGGGGTCTGAGAGCCTTCCCAAGAAAGTTACTCGGGGCCACGGGCCTACCCAAGAAGATCTCGGGGCCTCGGAGCCTACCCAAAGATCACCTTAGAGCCGTAAGGATTTACGAGCTGGATCAGGGCTGAACCTCCATACTCTAGAATCCTACCATATACAATCTAGTAGAAATCAATTTTAACAGTAAGCTATAATATCTGGATCATGATCCAGTAAAATCTCGTAAACGTGACATTGGAATAAACCATATAGTCCCCTCCACCTGTACACCGTATATAGTCACTTGATTAACCCAAGGGAATGCCTTGGGGCCTGAGAGCCTACCCAAGAAAATTTCTCGGGGCCTCAGAGCCTACCCAAGGATCACCTTAGGGCCGTAAAGATTTACTAGCTGGATCAGAGCTGAACTTCCATACTCCAGGATCCTACCCATATAAAATCCAGTAGAAATCAGTTATAACAGTAAACCATAATATCTGGATCGTGATCTAGTTACTTCCATTCCGATTAACTTGATCAAATACTCTAGGTCCGTAAGTATTTACCAGCTTGATCAGAGCTGAACCTTCAACTTACCCAGATAAAGTCCCAATAAAAGAGTGCATGCATAACCAGTGAAAACAGAAAACCATAGTTCCTAAATCAGTAATTTTCATGATTCCATAAATCAGGAACGATTCATATATTTCAGTGAAAGTCGTAATCGGAGAACACATGCCATGTTGCCATGGTTCATAAACAAGTAAATCAATAATTTTGATAAAACTCATTTTAAAACATATAAAACCATCATGTAGTACATGTGGAACACACTAGAGGATCCAAGTATTTATCAAAGGCACTTGGTAGTTTATCAATAATGAAAAACATGAAACTTATGTAATTTGATCGGATTCTAGTAACGATGTCCTATTGAAGGGGATTGTTTACTATTGGATCTAATCAGATATTTAAAGTTGATACGTTAGAACCTCGTTAAGATTCAAGAGCACCAGGAAGGTGTTCAGGAACCTTTATACTGAATAAATTCTAGATTCAGATTTACGGAGAGTCATTCCATTACTCAAACAATCTGGAATATTTAGGATTTTATATTGAATTATCAAGATTTTAAGTCCAAAGAGCCAAATGGGGTATTCAGTATCCTTGCATCTGAGTTACTTGTATGATCAGTTATGATCGAAGTGATTTGATATGATAAAGGAGAAACGAAGATTCAGGACATTTACAATTTGTGTCGATCTATGCGATTATCGAAATAACTCGAGCTGAACAACTCCCATAACTAATGCATATCGATCGATCAATTTGTTGCCCTTCCAGGGTATTCACTCTTTAATACCCACAATTTTTGTTCATTGATCACCTTCAGAATAATAGTTGAATATATCCCAAGGATACGAACAAATATTCCAATGGTCTTTACTTTATTCTCACGCTGCAACACTATCAGGAAATGCCGACATACTTGATTTATGGTATGCAACTCATGAGTACGGTACATCATATAAGATCATCAGTGTTTCCAGATTTATCTAAGTTATTCACTTAATTTAATTAGTATTCAAATTTATCCTGGTCGCTTAGGAGTTCCCTGAGCAATTAGTTCGTTTCAGAAATTTTGGATACATACAATACTTCCATTCCGATTAACTTGGTCAAATAATAAAGTCGTATGTGAATTCGAGGTCGATTAATTCATTTCGGAGCTTTAAGCATTAGTAATTCTAGGTCTTGGAAATACTTTAGGGCATTCTACGTTTTTGGAGCATTTTGGTCATTTACACTTCATGGGTAATTCTATAATTCCAATATAGATTTAGAATTTAATTCAATGCTTCTCGAGCTCAAGTGTATCAAGATATGAGTTCATAGGTCGTCTCCATTTTCATAGTCATCCATTTTCTTTTTACTCTTTAAGGGTATTATCGTAATTTCATTCAATTCCGTCAATGGCATTACTTCAGGTAACTTAGGCTTGAAAGTACTTCAGTTCCATTAAAGTTCAGAGTACTTGCACATTTGCTCACTAGATTTTACTTTCACCACTAGGGAAAGTCTTGGTCCTTTTCAAGTATAAGGATATTTTCATAATTTTACCCCTTAGGGTTATTTTAGGTAATTTCTTATCCAAATAATCTCGATAATTAACCTTTAAAAAAAATTATCAAAATTTATGGATCAACCGAGTTGACTCAGACTGGACTAGGTAGGTCTAGTCCGGTCAAACGGGTTGGGTTAACCGGTTCTGAAAATTTCCTTGGGCCAAACAAGCCCCACGTGCATACGATGGCGTGTGGCGGCGCGTGACAATGGCGACGACCTCGGGGTGGTCGGTCGATTACCTGCTGCTTCAACAATCACCATAATCGATCAAATTCACTATAAAAATCAACTAAAACTAATTAAAAATAAGCAAATGAGCTATCGGCGTTCATTACCAACGGCGCCCGGAGAAAATCACGTCGACCGGAGACACCGCCGGCTGGGTCCTGACCTCGACGGAACAGGGAGTTCGATAGTGAGGGCAGTGTAACTCCACTGTGTCGTCATCGATGTAAATTTGAAGAAAACAGAGGCGATATCTTGGTTTCCCCGTCGAACGCTTCAACGTCGATTCTCTACGGTTGCCACCGTATCACGGAAAGAACCGATAGGGGTTTTGGTCGCACGAAACCGACGATCTCAACGACGATGATAGTGCACGACACTGGCAGTCGGAGCTTAAACAACGACGAGAGCATTCGTTTGAGGCGATGAGACTTCGCAAAGCAATTTAGGACAAACGACGTCGTCCCACGGTTGATCGGGGGTCGGGCTTTGGTCGTCAGAGGACACTGGTTCTGATGATGGCGGTGGAGCACGGCAACGACGGCTAGACGACGACAAAATGAGAGCCCGGTAAGGCTTCAATTGGGGAGAATTAGGGATTTGAATTGTTAATTTTGGGGATTTTCGGGTATCACCAAGGGGAAAGGGTTTATTTTTCCATATCCCAAAAAAATAAACAAATTCAGGATTAGGTCCCTGAATTTCCAACACTTTCTAACTCACCCAAAATTTTAGAAACTTGCAATTGGGTCCTAAATTTTTCCTTTTTAAAATTTTATTTCGGTACTTTAAAACTAATAACATTTAGTCCTTAAAGCGGGGTGTCACAAAATATATTAAATATATTCGACCCCTGGGACCCATGTCCCATAGCCTATTAAAAAAATATATCTAACAGAACTCATCACACCAACATGACGAATTTCAACTACACTATAATTTTTGTCGTAGATTCTAAAATAAAAAATAAATTACCCTATTAGGCTAATTAATCGGCTGGCCTTCATTATTCCACTAATTTTGCCCCTTTGTTCCGCCATTTTCATATTTTTAAAAATAAACAAATTAGAACTAATATTTTTACCAAAATTTGATTGCGTACAAAATTAAACGACTACTAATATTGTTCCGCCTTACCTTTATATATAGTTTATCCATGGAAAAGAAGTGTTCTGCCACACGTGTTGCCCATCAGACAGAATGAAAGTACATGAGTTCAGCCGAGTTAAACCACCCCCTGACTCACCAAAAACATCAGCCGAATTCTCTCTTCCACTCACTTTCTCCGACGTTTTCTGGTTCAAGTTTCCTCCCGTTGAGCGTCTGTTCTTTTACCGACTCAACGCCTTAAACCTCGCTCGTTTCAACTCGGAAGTCCTCCCCAAACTCAAGCAATCTCTTTCCCTAGCTCTCCTCCATTACCTCCCCCTCGCCGGCAACCTCAAGTGGCCACCAAACGCCCCCAAACCCATTATTTCGTTCTTTCCGTGCGACGGAGTTCCACTCACGGTTGCTGAATCCGATGCTGACTTCAACCTTCTTTCAAGCAACGGAATCTACGAAGCTGTTGACCTACACCCTTTGACACCTGAGCTGATAACATCGGATGAATCGGCAGCAACTACTGCTTTGCAAATAACCCTTTTCCCTAACAGGGGGTTTTGCGTTGGAATCGCAGCTCACCATGCTGTTCTTGACGGGAAAACCACAACCATGTTCATCAAATCATGGGCTTACATATGCAAGCAAGGTAATCCAGAGAACTCAACTTTTCCACCCGAGCTAACCCCTGTTTTTGACAGGAGTGTTTTAAGAGATCCTGGTGGACTTGACATGATATATTTGAGGAGCTGGTTGGACAGTATGGGTTCAGATTCAAACACTGCTAAGAAAAGCCTGAAGATTTTACTGGACAAAGGAGTAGCTGCAAGTCTAGTTCGAGCCACGGTTGAGCTTACTCGAGAAGATTTGAAGAAATTAAGAGAAAGGGTACTGTCAAAGTTACCAGAAACTGGGAAAGACCTTCATTTATCAACATTTGTTCTGACATATGCTTATATAACTACTTGCATAGTGAGATCCAGGGGAGGAAATGGTGATAGAGATGTTGCTTTCGGATTCACGGTCGATTGCAGGCCACGGTTAGACCCTCCTGTCCCCGAAAACTATTTCGGAAACTGTAACACAACAACAGTAGATTTCGCCAAAGCGAGAGATTTCTTAGATGAAAACGGCTTTGTTTTCGGAGTTCAAAAGGTCAGTAGCCTGGTTAAACAAGTGAAGGAGAAGGGCGTTCTTGAAGGAATGGAAAAGAAATTATCGATTGTTCTCGAATGTTATGAGAGATTAGAAAATAATCCTTTTCAGGCTATTAGTGTTGCAGGGTCGCCGGGATTTGGAGTTTATGGATCAGATTTCGGATGGGGAAAGCCAGTGAAAGTGGACATTGTTTCCATTGACAAGAATGAAGCTGTATCATTGGCTGAGAGCAGAGACGGTAGCAGGGGAGTTGAGGTTGGCTTGGCATTGAAAAAACATGAAATGGAGAAATTCTTCTCTTTGTTTTTAGTTGAGTTTTAACAAAAAGGTCGGAAAACTATGTTTTTGTTCATATACATCATTCCTAGTTGTCCTTCAAACAATGTACTAAAAGCAATATCTGTATTCAGTGATTCAGTCTTAAAGAAATAAAAGAGCACATCATCTTCACACCCAAAACATTAGTAATGAATGGATTAATATAGAATCATCGGTGCAAATTTGTCGAAAACATAATTTAAACACTCTAATATACTTATATAAATTAATCACATTAAGTTCTCCGACTTAAGGAAGTAACATATATTAAATTACAATGTTAGTCTATATAATTTTATTTTTTAATTTTTTAAAATATACATAAGAAAATCTTATAAGGCTCACTTCAAGACGCGCCTTCGATCTACCTAAATAAAAATGCATTTCACGTGACGTGCTTTATTATAAGGTAGATCATAGTTTTTTTAATGTTTTAATTTATTATTTTTGCCAGAAAAATAGTTTACGGTGAACAGAATGACAAGGAAGAAGATAAGATTTTACTATTTTTATGGTGCAGTATTAATGCAAACAAAAACGCTATTTTTAATTGCGACATTTTTTATTTGAAATCAAAATTAAAATAAGAAGGAATCATCCTTATTGCCGGCTGTTGATCTGTCTAGATTGGGACCCGATTTAGGGGTGGTAAACAGATACAATTTTATGATTTCGTACCATACCTGCTGTAATTGGGATAGAGATGATATAAATTTAGTAGGTAGTGAGCGGGTGTGGATTTAGAAAGTGGTATCCATCATGGGTAGTAGGCGAGTGATAGGTTTGGGACCTTACCCGCCCCGCATCCGCCCACTCCGCATCCGCCCGCCCCACATCCATCCGCCCACTAAATATCAATTACATTTTGGACTATTATGAATTTCGGTATAATTTTAGACACTAATTTATAAATCTTAATATTGTATAAGATATAACTTATAATTTAGCCAAATATTAGGAATAAGTTTATGAATCAACTTTTTCTTTCAAACCTCTCGTGCTTTGCTTGCTGGTTACTACGTCAATATTCTGGTAGTTCTTCTTCTCTAAGTTTCAAACTCTGGTCTCCAGCTCATTTAGGTACGCCTTCTTCCTCTTCTTTACTCGGTATCCTCTGCGGGTAGTAGAGTTGTATGTCACCTTATACACAGATCCAAAACCACCTTCTCCAATCTTGTTTGATGCATCGAAGTTGTTTATGGTCGCATTAATTTGTCGTAAGGTGAATACTCCGGTTTTCAGATCTAATCCTCTTAGTTCTATTCAAGATACAAGGCCAATAGTCAATACTCCGTTATTTTGATTTTGATATTCCGCTGAATCTATGAGCATTCATTTATTGGTTTTGATTTTTAAGAAACACGTTTTATGTACGTATATTGAATTATCGATTTTGGTATTCTTCTGAATTTAAGTGCATTCACACATTCTGCTGATTTTGAAAATTATGAATAATTTATGCATTATAATTTGTATAATCATGCTTTGAAAAACAAAAACATCTTGAAAAAAAAGCCCAAAACCAATACAACTTAGATTTGATCTTCTTTTTCTAGATTGGGATAATGCAAAGGTAAGGATCCAAACACCGGGCTATATTTTACGCATACTGGATCATTTACTTAGATTTGTATAAGCTTTTTTGGTTGCTGGTGTGAGGAAAGAGATGAAATCATGTTTTAATTTTGGGTAGATGAAACTTTATTATAATTAGAAACAGGTGCAACAACAAACAAAGAGTCACTAATTAAATAACTCAGAGAAAGTTGTGTCCATAATATTTTTACAACTCAAAGAATGGATTTGTTTAGGCGTCTATCCTGCATTTCTAATTCTTATCGCCTTAAACTCCTTTTTTAAAGATAAGAATGATTCAATAGAGTCTTTCAACTGTCGTTAAACTCCTTTTCCCTTGTAAATTTGTAACTCTAATTTAGGGTTATACGGACTGGTAAGGCGTGCCTACGCCTTAATTGCAGACTTCTTCTACGATAGCTCAGAATGAATAAGATGTGCCCACGCCTTATGTGAAAACCTCCTCTGGTCTTTGAATATAGCCCAAAATTATTTTCGGGTTTTCGGATAATCCAAACATGATTTTTTATCGATTCGTATCCGATCCGATAATCCAAAAAAAATTCAGATACCCGATTCGAACTATCCGAAAATTGAAAAACGGATTGGATCAACGGATCAGATTTTTTTGCACAACCCTAGCTGGTCTAGCCGGATATGTCTCCAGTTAGGTAGTGAGTGGGGATGGATTTGAGAATGTACCCGTATGAGTGGGTGTGGATTTGAAAATTTTTACCTATCATGGGTGGTGGGCGGGTGGTGGATTGAAAAATATTAGGTGTGTATGGGGATGGGGGAGAAGGTATTCGCACCAGACCCACCGTTTTCCAATACCTAACCCGATTATCCTGGAATCTTTACGTGATTTGATGAGTGAGATTGGTTGAAGTTTTGAGTTTTCTTAGGGTTTATTTATTTAACGGAAAGAATATTTTAAAAAATAAATTTTGAAAAATGAATTACATTTTCTTGTAGAATATTTTTTGAAAAATATTTTACGGTGTTTGAATAATATCGTATAAAATTTTTCATTGGTTGGTAAAATTTTCAAGAAAATTATTATAAACATCAAATATAATTAATAATATTATTTATTAATAAAATAATAATATTTTAAATATCAAAATAATTTATTTAATATTATTTATGTAAATATTATTATTAAAACATTATAACTACAATTTTATAAAAAAATATTTTATTTTTTATTAAAATAAAATTATCATAAATTATATTAATTATTTCTTAAAATGAGAATCATATACTATTAATCATATTAATTATTTATTAAAATAATAATATTATTAAAAATTATAATAGTAAAATAAAAAAATTATATTTTAAAGAATATATATTAAATATTCAACAATTAAATAATATTATTTTTATGAAATTAATAAATAATATTAATTTTATTAATGATTTATTATATATTATTAAAATAAAAGAATAATATTATGTATTATAATAATATAATTATAACTATAAAATATAATAATATATTATTAAAATTATCATTAAATATAATTTAAAAGTCAATATATTTATTAAAATAATATTAAAATAATTTATAAATATTACATATATAAAATATTACATTTTTTGGAAAACCAATTATAAGGAAATAAACAGACCCTTAGATTCAATCGTAGCATTTTGACTAAAAAATCCCAAAAATCCATTTATTAGGAAAATAACGTTAGTAGAAATTATTTGAAAAAACCCTCGAATTGTCCATGTAGGATGACCTCATGTTCTACAAAACGCATGTAAGGACCTCACATTACCCAGGCCGCGAGATTCGTCTTATGTGGATGAACTTTTCATATCACATATTTAATATTTGGATAAAGGACTCGCGGTATACAGAACGCGAGGTCCATGCGAAATTGAATCTATTGCGAGTTGTATTTTAAATCTCGTGTGGTATATACAATTCCAACAAACACTGCAAGTGTTAATAAGCATGTTCGATGGGTATTTTCGGGTAGTTAATCTAAACTTTTTCGTAATTTATAAGATTAGAAGGTTAGTATTGGAATTTATCTATCAGTTAAAGCCAATATCGATATATAAGAGATATTGTAAGCGTGTTAAAAATTGTGTTGAAAAAGGATTCAAGGGGTTCATTCGGGTAATTAATCTAAATTTTTTCGTAATTTATAAGATTAAAGGCGTAGTATTGTAATTTATCTTTCAATTGAGAGTAATTTATCTTTCAATTGAGCGTAATATCGACACATACAAGACATTGTAAGTGGGGTAAAAATCACATTGAAAATTCAAAACCAAAAGAAATTGAAAACTAACGAATATATTTTATTTATTACAAAAGTAGTACTATGAAAGCACAATTAATTGATATGAGGGTGTGATTGATTAAGATGTTTGTTGAAAATATTTTGATGTTTCATATATCATATTAAGTGTTATTGAATTTTAAGATTTTACAATCATTTTTAAAGTATATTCGATAAAATTATTCGAATATCACAAATATTACTCCAAGTTTTTCAAAGGTCAATATCAATCCTTACTAAAGTGTAAAATTGTGTTTAAAACTTAAAATATTTTTGAAACAATTTTGACAAAGTATTTCGAACTATAATCGAGCCAAAAATTATTTTTAGGAAGGGATGTACCGATACACTCTTTAGTGTATAGATGCACACCCAACATCGAATCTATTTTGTGCACCGATGCACAGCCATACATCGATACACTCCTGGCTCGGAATGCAATTAGTGTACCGATGCACCTAGAGTGTACCGATACACCAGGTCATATAACGGTCGAAAAATTTGAATTTTACACACAGTGTACCAATACACCCTTGAGAGTGTATCGATGCACCTACGCTCCCAACAGATTTTTAAATGATAAATAAACCATAACGGCTCTATTGACTTCACCAATGATCCCCAACGTTAAAAATCAATTCAATGTGTATTTAAACCATCTGAAGAGCCATTGATCAACTACAATTAAGAAGAGAAGCTAGAGAATCAAAGAGAAAGCCTTAAACATTAAGTTTGAGCATTTCAAGCCTATTTTCACTCAATATTCATTTTTCTTTCAAGAACACCCTTTGGGGTCAACTGTATTAATTCTTGAGTGTTCTTTGATTGTTCTAGAATTGTGCAAACATTTTGCCTTGTGAGGTTTTTCAAAATTTGTGTATTTCTCTTTGGGAGAGAGTGTTCTCAAGAATTTGGGGTATAATTCTTGAGGGATTTGTAAGGTTACTCTTTGTCCTCAAAAGAAAGACAAATTAGTGAATTTGTGGAAAATCCTTAGTGTGGATAGCTAAGTTAGTGGACGTAGACTTCGGTTGAGAAAGTCGAATCACTCTAAATCGTTGTGCAAATATTTTCTATTCTCTACAAAAACTTCCACCAAAATTTTTATTGCCAATTCATCCTCTTCT